CGGCGAGGCTAAGATCTCAATGAATAAACGATGCGTACAATCTTCGGGCAATTATTCGATTATCTTCTTTTAGAAAAATTGCTCGAGATGTAAATAGATATTCCTTTCAAAAATGTCTCTCTCTCTCTCTGAAATAGAACCGAGTAGACATAATTCCCGCAGATTTTCTCTTGCTTAATACCCTGTTCAATAGCTCTCGTACATATTTTGCAATATAATAAGATTTTATTTTTCCGTGGGTCTCTCTGGCTTAGAAAATATACTCGTAGACCGAGAATTTCATCTAGCCACGAAAGCAACATGGCACGACCTTGCTGACCCCGCTGAGCCGTGTCTCGCGTGAGGCTGCTTTCGGGTGACGATTACCATATTCCGAGCACCCGGTAGCTTGGTGTTTGGGCACGAATAATCCATGTATTTTCAAGCGAAGAGCCGAGTCGCGTGTGCGTGTTCGAGTTTAGCCATGGAGCGCTATCGGCCTGCTCTATCTTAACGACGCCAGATCTGTCGTTCTCCACCCAATCCCGTCTCTTCTCTCCGTCCTCTCCTTCACCCCCGCCTCGACCTGTCGGAGATCTCGTAAGAGAAGTCGGAGGAGAGAAGAGAGAGAGAGAAAGGAAGCTCGGCGTGAGAGACGGCAAGTACGAGAGACGGGAAGAGAAATACGTCTGCCACCGAAATGATTGATTCGTCGCGGTCTTCTCTATCGAAGGCGAAACTCCGGAAACAACTTTCACGATAGAATTTTTCGATAAAAATCTTCGTGATCTCGAGCTAAAACGTTAATTGACATTAACTTGGCAGTTAATTAATAATTCCGAGATAATTCGCCAGTTAGCCCTGAACTTCGCTTTAATGTCTTTTAATATTTATTTCTAGTGAAGAAACTTGCTGCTAAGACATATAAATATAAAAGTGTGAAATTCTCCTCTTCGTGAACGACCAGTAAAATTATTCCAGAAAATTATTTTTAATATACCAAGTACTTAAAATATACCAAAGTACTTAAGTTACGCTCGTGTCTGTTTATTTTTAATTGTTCAAGAGAATCTTCACTCGATCCTCGACGGCTCGATTAGCACGACAGATCTTTTGGGATCATCTTGAGAGACCATTGAATCGCCGGCGTATACGAGTCCCGATTGTCGAAAGTGCGTCGGCATCGACTATTTCGAGAGCCGTCTCTTTGCCGTCTCGGGCGTTCATTTCTTCCCTCGCATCTTCGAAGCTGTAGAAGAAGAAAAGATTCGGACACGGGGCCCCGGCGCTAAGACTGTAATGTGTCGGCTTAACGTCAACGGAGACAGTCACCTATTCCAACCACTCGGGCCGTGGTTGCGGCTATCTGCGTGCGTGCGTGCGTGCGTGCGTGTGTGCACGTGTCACGAATCACGCGCGAGCACGGGCGTACGCTCGACTGACGCGCGAGGAATCCGCGCGAGCGTTGTACGAATGCCATGGAGAATAAAAAAAAATCGGAAACCCGTAGAAATCCTCCGCCGTAAGTATAATCGTCTTGAACTTCCCCTTCTCCTTCGCTCATCGACGATTATTATAAGTATAATAAAAATTTGAGCTACGATGACGAACCTGTCTGACAATGAGGGCATAACGGCCAGGTTTACTCTCGTATGATTTTTTTGTTTCAACAATGACGAAGCTGCGAGGAGGAAGCTGCGACTCGCCTCGTGCGATCAGAAACAGAAGAAAGAAGAGACGGGGAATTAGATTTCCACGGTAGAGAAATCGACAATGGATATCGAGAGGCTCAATGACAATGGCAACTCGATACCTCGTTTACCCGCGGTCCGGCTTTTCAGTCTCAGGACGGAACGACACGGCCGACGCCAGGGCGACGACGAGCGTCGCTTTGGCTCCGGGACAGTGGCCGGGGGAGACGACCTTTTGCCTTCGCCTCGCATCGAAAGAAAACGCTTCATTGCGCCTTGCGCGCATCGACTAGCGATCCGCTGTGTAACGGCGGATCTTTTGTCGGCTCCTCTCGCTTTTGAAAGAATCTGGTGTCTCGCGTCCTATCCGTCACGAGGAAAATTCTCGGGGTATTAAGTATCCATTACGGCCCCACGTTTCCCCCTGCGCGACCCCCCTCCCCCCCTCTCTTGCCCCTCTATCATTTTGCTCTTCCTAAAAATATCTCTTTCCTTTCCTTTCCTTCGAAGGATCGCCGAAGATCTCGTCGTGGAGGAAGCGGAAGCGGGCGTATTCGGGAAACGGCAAATGTTTCTTCCGAGGTGGGGAACAATCGGAGTGTGCTGGTCGTGGGAAGGGACCCGATTGAAATCGGTCGCTGCTCAACAGAGAAGACTTCTCATTTCCGCGAAGCGAACGCCGCTTGCGATCGCTCCCTTTCCCGCAGGCATGCATTCGGGATGCAGGAAGTCCGCCATTAAATCCTTCATACATTAATACGGTCTCGAAGTAAGTAACGTGTCGTACGCAAAATGTACACGGCGATGCAAGAGGAACAAACACAACGTAAATAAAATATAAAAACTTGGAGGTTTACCAGAAAAAAATCTCTTGTTACAAAAACACGTCGTCAAATGTCGTTATTTTACAAAAATCTGTGTAGCGTTCACCGTAGCGTTAGCAGTGAAAGCGAAGGGCGGAAATTCGTAATCCGAATAATAAGTTCGCTTTATATGTAAAAACGTAAGACCTACGTACGCATACATCTATTATATTTTGCAATTAATTCATCGCGCTTTCACGCGCTTCATATCTAAGTTTTTAATTTTTCAAGGCGTGCCAGCACAATCATGTGAAATAATGCGCGCATATAATGCTCCAAATCATCTAACGGCTGCAACGAATGCAGTTTCTATTTCTGAAATTCGGCGGCTCGGCAGTTTTCACTTTCTTGCGCGACGGACGTTCAGGACAAGTATAGAAATCCGCGGAGTCGTCCTCGAGGAGGCGCAAGAAAGGGAGAGACCCACGACTTCCATCCTGCACTCCTCCTTCCCCGGTCTTCCTCCTGCGTGTCAGGGACGTATCCGTGGCAGTGTGTCTGGCTGCTAGTATCTTGATTTCCAGTCGGCGCAATCTCTCCCAAGCTAATCGCGATAAGA